GGCCGCGCCCCTGAACTCTGTCAACTCTGTGGCTGGGCTCTGTGGCTTGGCCTTCATGCAAACAGAGCATATCCCCAACCAAGAAGGCTCGACGGCCCCAAGGCAGAGATAGAGCCCAGGTGGGCCCTCCACCAGGACTGGGGGTCAAGACCTTGGCCGCCCCCCTGAACACTGTCAACTCTGTGGCTGAGCTGTGTGGCTGGGCTCTGTGTCCAGGCCTTGTCCTCCTCTTGTCCTCCTCTTGGCCGCGCCCTGAACTCTGTGGCTGGGCTCTGTGGCTTGGCTCTGTGTCCAGGCCTTGTCCTCCTGAACTCTGTCAACTCTGTGGCTGGGCTCTGTGTCCGTGCCTTGTCCTCCTCTTGTTCTCTTCTTGGCCGCGCCCCTGAACTCTGTCAACTCTGTGGCTGGGCTCTGTGGCTGGGCTCTGTGTCCTCCTCTTGCCCGCGCCGGGCTCTGTGTCCAGGCCTGGCCCTCCTGTTGTCCTTCTCTTGCCCGCACCCCATGAACTCTGTCAACTCTGCGGCTGGGCTGTGTGGCTAGGCTCTGTGTCCAGGTTGTCCTCCTCTTGTCCTCGTTGTCCTCCTCTTGTCCTCCTCTTGGCCGCGACCCTGAACTCTGTCAACTCTGTGGCTGGGCTCTGTGTGGCTGGGCTCTGTGGCGCACGCTCTGACATACGCTCCAGAAAGGCGCGCTCAGAGCGCGCTCTACAGAGAGAAAGACAGAGAAAGATAAACTTGAAGAGAATGAGAGAGAGAGAGAGAGAGAGAGAGAGAAAGAGAGCAGGGCGAGCGCGCGCGCTCGTGTGCTATGGACGGCTTACTGGCTCTTGTCCTCCTCTTGTCCTCTGTGCTGGGCTCTGTGGCTGGGCCTTGTCCTCTTCTTGTCCTCCTCTTGTCCTTGTCTTGGCCGCGCCCCTGAACTCTGTGGCTGGGCTCTGTGGCCCGGCTCTGTGTCCGGGTCTTGTCCTCCTCTTGTCCTTGTCTTGGCCACGCCCCTGAACTCTGTGGCCGCTCTGTGTCCTCTTGTCCTAGTCTTGGCCGCGCCCCTGAACTCTGTGGCTGGTCTCTGTGGCCCGGCTTACTGGAGAGGAGTGTGGCCGAACAAATAGCGATGTCAATGCCGACAAAAATTCATTGATGAAGCAGTTTGCTCTTGGGGTGAAAGTAGGGCGAACCAAGAAATCGATTTTTGAAGCTGTTTGGGGTCTATGCTTGTATAATTTTATGATAGATGCTCGAAGGACAATGGCTTCCAAAAAGTCTCACCAGTTTCAACAAGTTTCAAAGTTTGGTTGGAAAGGAGAACAAACCTGAAAGCCAGTTGTAAGCCAAGGCTTGAAGTTTCACACCGCAAGCTGGCCAAAGAGATCTTTTTCTTGGGGCTCACCTTCCTGATGTGATTGCTGACCTTTCTGGGGTGTGTTTAGGGGTGTGCAAAAACTCCCTGCGGAGCACTAGTTCTTTTTCCCCAAACAGTTTACTGTTGGGGTTCTATCTTCGAAAAAAAGGAGCTGGCCACACTCACTGGCCGCGCCCCTGAACTCTGTGGCTGGGTCCTCCTCTTGTCCTCTGTGGCTGGGGCTCTGTGTCCAGGCCTTGTCCTCCTCTTGCCCTCTGTGGCTGGGCTCTGTGGCTGGGCTCTGTGTCCAGGAATTGTCCTCCTCTTGTCCTCTGTGGCCTGGGCTCTGTGGCTGGGCTCTGTGTCCAGGCCTTGTCCTCCTCTTCTCCTCCTCTTGGCCCCTGACACAGAGTTCACTCTGTGGCTGGGCTCTGTGTCCAGGCCTTGTCCTCCTCTTGTCCTCTGTGGCTGGGCTCTGTGTCCATCCTCTTGTCCTCTGTGGCTGGGCTCTCCTCTTGTCCTCTTCTTGTCCTCCTGTGGCTGGGCTCTGTGGCCCGGTTTACTGGAGAGGAGTGTGGCCGAACAAATAGCGGTGTCACTGCCGACAAAAATTCATTGATGAAACAGATTGCTTTTGGGGCGAAGGTAGTGCGTACCAAGAAATCATTTTTTGACTAACATTGGCCTAAAGGAATTGTTTTGAAACTGTTTGGGGTCTATGCTGGTATAACTATATATTTTTGAAAAATAAGTAGCCGCTTTTGGACTTATCCTTGTGCGGGCCTTCGCCCTTCGCCCCCTCCAAACATGGGCTCCATCTTCCTGACTTCCGACACCTGTTGCACACCATCGCACGCCATGGTGCTCGGTGGCGGGCGAAGACCAAGCTCCAGAGTTCAAACATTTGGAACAGATCTGGGACCAAAACCTGGAGTCCAATCAGTCCACCATGTAGCCAACCACTCGGTCTCGTGGTGCCATTACCCACGACCATCTCATCGAACGTGCCTCTCGGTCGGCACCGCATCCACCCGCGTAAACCACCAGTCCAGGTGTGGCGGGACCCGGGCGACCGGCGTCCTTGAAGCAAAAGGTTTGGGCAAAGTTGCCCAGCGGGCTGATCTTGCCCGAGAATCAGGTGCGCCCCCCGGGAGATGGGGTGGGCATCAAAGTCTCAGGACATGTCGCGCGGGAGGGGGTAGAAGACGAAAAACAGAGGTTTTCTGGTTTTCGAGTGTTTGATGTGCAAGCTCCTTGTTTAAAAGCAACTCACTTCAGCATTTCAGCGCCACTCTCACATGGACCCGGGAAACCAGGGTCATCAACTCCAGGAGAATCCCAAGTTTTTCTGAACCCCCAAAAAACGATTTGAGATTCCGAGATTCCTTGCCATTACAGACATGTCGTGTGGATATTATGGATCTATCCGCCAACGCCGTTGAGTTCCGGCGCGCAACGCGCTCCCTTTTTTGCCCCCTCATCACGCCGCGAGGAAGCTCCAGCAGTTCCAGCGGTTCCCTCCAAAAAGATAATCTGGTTTTGGCACCCTTCCCCAAAGCTTTCCTTTCATTTCAGTCCAGCTCTCAGGTGTTCTGAACTTGGACTTCTCCCATCAACACCCCTCGTGGAAAAATCGTTTTCGATCACTGTGGTGGACTGACTGTGATCATTTCTGCCATGGCAGCAGTTCTTTTTTTTCCAGCTCTAGAAGTTCAGTTCGACGATTTTTGGGACCACCGAAGTAAAGACATTCCGAACTTCGGATCACCTATAGATGACAATTAGGGACTTACTTTCAGGACTGGGCCACCTTCATTCGGATCACCTATAGACAATGTAGAAACAATTGGGCTCTTTTGGGACTTCCAGGGCCATCGCTCTCTTTTTTTTGCTTCGTTGCCCGACACCTCTGGGAGGATGATCCCATGCGGCTCATCTACGAGATGGAGTGCCTGGGCGGGTTTGGACGGTTTCGGGGTAGGTGTGAAGATGGTTTCGGGGTACTGATATAGCAATTGACTTCCTTTTTGTGGCATAGGTGGTGGAAGTTAGGTCCAAGTAGGCGAGAACCTGAGGTCTGAAAGCGGATTATGGAAAGACACAAGTCTGAAGTCTGAAAGCAGCACGGGACTGTCCCCATATCCTACCTCTGGATTCACCAGAAGAGCCCCTTGGTCTGCAGCTCAGAGAAACAGAACAGCCCGGTGAGCTGGCAGAAGTCAGAGTGTCGAGTTCAGATCCTCACTAAACCCATTTCACCCATTTCTATCCTTCGCCTTGAGACAAAAGAGACAGAAAAAACATCCGAGCATCTCATCCATTCGGTTTCGGGGCGGTTCAGATACGGCTCGTCGACTGAACTCAGTGCTCTTCTCATTTTGATCTCTACACCCGTCCGAGTCGGTGAACCAAGGAATGCGTAGGCAGCGACGTTCTAGGTCTCCTAGGCACAGCCAGGCAGTCTATTTTCAGCATGGCTTACAACCCTAGAATTAGCATGAATTAACCAATCAGATGCGCAAAGAAGAAGATGCGTACGTACCCTTGATGTTTTCCAGCAAGATGGCCGTAATTACGTGGCACTCGCCCGTACGTATGCCGGCATGAGGACGGGTCACCCCATGACGACCGGCCGGACGACAGAGGTATTTGGCATTCGTCCGGCTTCCAACAGCTTCGATGTTGGCCAGAGTGGCCCGAACAGCATGTGGGAGGTGCCGGGCGTCTCTCCCCAAGCGGAAAAGTCTCGGCCTGTCCAGTGTCCAGCAAACCACTTCTCCGGGGGAAATGAGTTGATGTAGCGAAACAGACCAATAATTAGTCCATCAGACATGTATTTTTTTGATTTCAAGGACTTGTGTGCCGTGGAAAGCTTAGGGCTCTTGTGACATCAAACCTGGCCGACATCCGAGCAACAAAAAGCTTGGTCACTGACCCAAAAAGCCCAACACGCTGCAAACCATTTTGAGATACGGACGCGCACGAGAATTTGGACGCTTTTCCACAAGATCTTCAAGAGCGAATTGGGTGGTTGGGGAATGATGGGGTATCTTCCGCCTAGAGCGAGGTGGACGGCGTTGCCCTGCTGCCGCTTCAGCGTGCGCGGCAGAATGCCCAGGTGCGGGCGGAATCGGTTCGATGCCCAAGCTGCCTCTCCATCCAAGAATCATGAAAAGTGGAGTTCTTCCTTGTTTGGTGGAGGTCAGCAGATTTTCTACTCCACTGTGCCGTCCCGGTCCAGCGAAGACCAATGAGAGTTCAACCAGAAAGGAAAGATACAAAGGAGATCCAGTGACCCCTACTTGGGTCACCGAAACGCCGAAGACATCCAAAGACTAAAACCCGTAGACCGAGGTTCCCTGGTTCAGTCGGTTCGCGACAGGGTCGCCTGGGATCCACCTGAAATAGCTCGATGGGTCGCTGATTTGGAAGTCGAACCGAAGGAGTCCGCGACACGCGGAAGGCCGGCCCACGGGTGTAATTGACATCGGGGGGACGATCTGCCCTTCACCGAACCCAGCGGGTGGTCGGACAGGGCGCCCGGACCAAGACCCTCCCAACGACCATCGGACCGGATACTGGGGGGGAATACTTCGGACCGGACACCCGCCTTTTACGCAGGCAGATGGCACTCAAGTAGCGACATCGACTGAGGGGAAGGGATTTGGTGACTTTTTGGGGTTGTTTGACTGACTTCTGTGGCTTCTGTGACAGGGAACGAGAGAATGGATGGAATCTCTATTGGTGGTTGAAACTTCCCCTACATTCCCCGTCCGTTTTCGTCGCACCGTCATCCGTTCTCTTCCGGGGTCCCAGCCGGACCGGAGGGACCGCCGGACCGTCCGAATGGTCGAGCCCGTGTTGGATCGCTCCGCATTTGGGACCGAAGCCCCGATGCCTAGGCTTCGAACTTGTACGTCTTACAGCATCCGGTGAACGCAAGTCGTGTGGGCAAAGCAGAACTGGAGCCCCCCAAAGAATTGGCCGCGACGCCCTCCAAGCAGTACCGCAAGCCCAGAGATCTGTGACTCTTCTGTGAGTATTCCATGTTCCGGTGAGTTACTCAGTACTTGTTTCAGGCAACGCATTGAGTGACCAACAGTTCCATCTTCATGATCATGCACATCCGGCCAGCGGCCGGAACCACGGATTCTCCGAACTTGGGACTTCTCCTTCCGGTGTCGCCAGAGAAGGGACGCTCTCTTCTTCGTTTCGCTTCTCCTTCCGGTGTCGTGCTCTCGCCGTTCGAGACCTTCGTCGGAATTCACGGCGGCAGGCGTCGGTGCCTCGTTGGTGGTCCTCCCCCGAAAGCTTGCGCCTTTGCGCGACGGCACTCAAGGAGGCGGAGACCGGAGACCGGAGACCGTTCCAGAACATCGACCCGACACCCGGCGCAGAGGATCTGATTGAGGAAAACACACCCATGTTTGGTTTGACTCGCAACCTCGGTTTGGGCCTGGCTTCGGGCTCGCGTCCACCCGTGAAACATGTGACTCCGCCCAATCGTGCCGATGTGGACAGGAGAACTTTGCAGTGCTCGATGGCTTTCTGCCCGAGGAGGTCTGCCAGGTGCGACGTCTCAGAATGGCCCGGTAGGCCCCGGTTTCTGCACGGTGCCCAGCTCGAAACGGGTTTCGTCATATGCATTGCCATTGCCCTCTATATTTGGCCGGATTCTTGCTTGTGCTTGCTTCATCCCCACTTAACCTCGTCCATTGTGAACCGAGCCCAGCACAGGTGGCGAGACTCTGAGCAAGTGACAAGTAGCAAGAGGCCAAAATGGACAGAAGCAAAAGACCATAGCCGACCAAAACCCCTGCCACAAAGACCCTGTGGCAGTGTTTGATGTGAGGGATTACGGGATTATCAATAAGCTGATCTGAGACTGGAAGGGGTTGGACATGGAACCAAAGCTGCAAATCTTGATGTCACAACTGATGCCACCCTACCAGCCCAAAGCTTGGTCGGCCCCCTGGTACCAACAAACCAACCAGACAAACCACACACACCTTTTCAGTTTACGATGTGGGAATTCAAGTTGTTGGGGACAAGCATCCATTTGCCGATGTGACATTCACGGGTACCTGCGATGACTCATCGCGTACCTGCCTGATTTTCCGACATGGCACCCTGGCTTCCAATACATTTGAAGGGGATCGCTTCTTGAACAAGTTGGGGTCACTTCCGGCTGCTGAGCACTTCCCAAAGGCATAATTCTTTGGGCACCCCCCACAGAGACCTACACTTACACATCCCAAAGTCATACCCAGTTATAGATTTGAGACATTTCTTGAGGCAGGGCCAAGTCATTCCAAATGGTTCCAGAACGTCAACACCAGGCCCTGGCGGAGGGCGCCAAACGCTCCCGGCCGAGCATGGTGCGGGGCGCCACCGGCGCCGCCGCGCGCGTTAGTCCGGGGCAGGACTTGGCCAAGGCAGGACCGTTGGCATTTGAAGGTCTACCAGGTGGTTGCCCCATGTGGGAAGTGTTCCCCCGGAAGCAGATGTTGTGCAAGAGTGAGCTGATGTGGTGTTGCCCAGTTTTCTTGGAATCGCACGAAGCACATCGCGTTGCCCGGTGCGACCGGCTTCTCTCGTCCCGGTCGCCGATCGCTTGTTTGCCCTCGGATCCTCCGTTCCCTCGGGTGTTCCACAGAGTCGTCCACCACTTGAGAGATCTCGGAAATGAACTGATCCTACAGATTCTCTTGTACATCTTGTACATGGTGTAGATCGATGTGTATGTAACATTTGGCCTATCTATCCTAAGTGCAGCCAGGTGCTAAATCAGCCCAGCAGAGTCTTGTTTGCAGGGAGGAAGGCTCCAGATGGACAGATGAGATTATCCTTTCGTATCCTTTCGTTTGGCTTGGCGACCCACCAGAAGCTCATGAGCAGTCAAAACATGAAAGGACGTAAGCATTCCTTTTTTGTGCCATGACCGGGCATGGCGGTGGACCACCACCAGGTTGCCCAGGTTTGGGATGAAGCCATGAACTCTTGCTGCTCTAGGTTTGGATGTTTGGATCTTTGGATCGGGTCACAGAGGTCTTTCATGCAGATCCACCCACCTCTCAGAATCTGTTCATGGCCGCGGTCTGCCATGTGTGGGTCCAAAACATGTGACCTTTCGCCGGATCGGACTGACGGATCAGACACGACCACTTCTTCCGAAGGAACCACCGTGGTAGCAGCTGCTAGCAAGACCAACATCACACAAAAAATGGTGAACATGATCTGGTGTTTCCGAAAGTATCATTTTGCAAGGCTTGAACCCCTGAAGCCAGTGAAGCGGTCTAGGATGTTGTGCAACAAAACCTCAAATCATCCTGCACGTCCCCTGTTTGGCATGCGGAACATGCTAATCCCAAATCGGGGCCATACGATCCACGTGGGCCCATGATTGTTCCAGAGAGTGTATCAACCGAGATCCCAAATGACCGCCCTTTCGGCCGGCGACCGTGGAGAGTTTCTCTTTGTGGACGGCCAAGTCTTGGCTCCGTCCCATGTCTCCTGGGGTGAGACTTAGATGGATGTATTATGATGAATCCATGGCTGATGTCAACGTGGGTGTCAAAGACATGCGAAGACGCAGAAGAAAAAGACGCAAAAAGCGCATGATCGCGCTTTTTGCGTTTCTTTTGGGGCATCCAAGCCAGTGGGCATTCATCTCTGGCAGCACAGGCAAATCAACAAAGAAAGCACATGCAGTCAGAGGAATTGGAGCTCCACCCAGTCAGAGGCATGGACCCCTTGAACCACTTTGCTACATGTTTTTGCATTCCCTCCTTTGGTTTTAGCATGTTTTTGCCATGTTGAAGCCCGCAAAATTCAACTGGCACGGACCCTCAATGGGTTAGCCTAGGAGGTGATGTCGTCAAGTTTGCAGACGAGGGGCAAATGCCCGGCTGCCAAGGCAGGAGTGGTGGCTTTCAGTTAGATTTCCAGGGAATCAAGCCAGGGGCTGTCTTTTCGAGGCACCCCTTTTTTTGGCAAAAGATGTCGAACGATGCGAAGCTCTGCAGATGTACCCATCAACATCCCAACATGCCATCCTCTGTTTGAGTCTAGTCATTTTCGGGCAGACTACCCTCGATGCCGCAGATTTCCTCGATGCCTTGGATGCCCTTGTGGACGCTTTGAAGACCTCCGACTCCGTGGAGGTCAGCGTGCGACATCGCTTGAGCTGCGTCGACTGGGCCAACAGTGCCATGTGTCTGGGCCAACAGTGCCATGGAGATGGACAGATGGAATCAGATGGAATCAGATGGAGATCGGCCAAGAGTCCCTCCCTGGTAGGGTTGAATGAAGAGTCTCCCTGGTTTGGGGGTGGGATGTAGGTGGATTTAGGGTTCAAAGATGCTTGTTTGATTTTTGTTACTCCAAGTGGTGCTAGATTAGATAAGTGACTCCCGGGTTGGCCAAAACATGCTTAAGAGTCTTCTTGCGGTCCTTAGTTTTCGACCTACCAGCCTGAAGAGGAGCTTTCAAGTAGGCAAGCAGGGCAGACTGTCCGAGGTGGTGGTGCAGTACGAAGGTTGTCCTGGGAGGTCGTGTTTGATCATGGTCCTCCACGAGTTCGACGGGATCCAGGTGTGAATCAACTCACTAGGCAGTTTCAGCAGAGGATGAAGTTCACATGTCACAGGTAGACGAAATCAGTCCAGCGGGTGTTGCAGAATGGTTGAGGATCCCCAAGCATTGCATTGGTCATAATGTCATTGAGTGTCAATGCTACCAGTCGCCCCATCTTCTCCCCCAGAACCTCAATTCTCTCATTGAAAACGAAGAATGACCCCTCATGGCCCTCATCGGACCGGCGGGCAGGCTGTCCACACCCATCGAGGAAGCCACGGCACGCCCTGAGGTTTGCCATTTACCCTGGAGGCGCCTCCAGGTACATCAAGCACGTGGACAACACCTTGGGCACCGATGGTCCGGGGTCCAAAAAGAAGACGAAGAAACAGCATGGAAACAGCGAGGTGAAGCCGCGAGCTCGGATTCTGTCTGACGTGCCAAGTGAGACTGGTGGGTGGGAGGTTCGATCGTAATAGGTTGGAGGCCGTCGCTAGTAATCCTGCCACTTGACGTCCCGGAAAGAGCCACCTCGGCGCTGGAGGCCGCCGCTTGACGGCCGTGCTGTACTTGAACCGAGATTGGTGGCTCGGGCTGGACGACTGGCAAGAGGGGAGCATGCCAGACGATCTGTGTGTTGGGATGAAAAGAAGACTGGTCAGACTGAGACTGGAGACCTGGACTGGCGTTCCATGGTTGTTTCACGGGATACACAGATTCTTTTTCAGATTTGGGTAGTGCAAGTGACTACTACACCTCCAAATCAACCCCAGAATTGGCAATCCAGTTGGAACGATGTCGCCGCGCGGCGGTCGGGTCAGTCTTCGCCGTTTTGGTTGAGGTGCGAGCAGGACGGCGGTTGCCTGCGGATCTTTGAGCCGACGATGCAGAGCTGCCAGGCCGACGACGGCGGGGTGGGGAAGTGGAGACGGGGGGGAGAAGGGTGTGGGTAAGGTGTGTCGGGAAAGGGAAACTCGAGATCTTCGGCTTCGTGAGTTCGAGGATGTTCCGGCGACTCAGGACGGCGATTCGGTCGATTTGGGAGATGGAGCAAGCAACAAGGATTCATGGAACTTTAGTTAGTTGGTTAGTTAATTGGTTAGTTAATTGGTTAGTTAGTTAGTTAGTTAGTTAGTTAGTTAGTGTGTTTGTTTGTTTCTTTGTTTGCTTGCTTGCTTTTGTTTTTTTGCAGGTGCAAACTGTAGAGTGACTGGGTGTCATGATCGGCCCCTCTTAACCCAGCATGAAGGGACCCCGCATTTGCTACTAGAAGTATTTGGGAATCGTTTGATTTGCTGAGACTTTTGAGACACGTGAGTGAAAGGACAACCACTCTAGGAGTTTGGGTCTGCTCATTTTGATAGCGCACTCCATGTGTGGGTAGGGGTGCCTTGTTATCCGCTCGTAACACCAGTTCAGTAGATACATGTTTATCATTTAAAGTTCAAATCCCATTCAATCTACCGGGACTGCCACCAGCTTGGTTTGAACCATTTCTGTGTGTCAAAGCGAAACATTCGGGACCATGATTGCAAAAAACAATGCGATCCTTTTGAGGGAAAACAGAGAGAAAAACGGAGGGAACGACAGAGAGGGATGCTCTTGATCCAAGCAGTTTATTCCTGGACCTTCAAAGGGGTGTCAATGGAGATCCTAAGTGGTGTAGGGGTTTCCAGCCAGGTGACCCCTTTGAAGGTGCTGTTTTTTTCATTGCTGGTAAGACCTTGTTCGTTTTTTCTCGTCTTCGCTTGCAGATGCAGGTGAAGCGGGATATCGAGCCGCTGTGGAATCGCCTAGCCTCGCACTTGGCTCGGGTGAAGCGGGAGGAAGAGTCGACTTGTCCGAAGAGTCTGGGAAACAGACATCAACTTCACTTGAAGGTTGAAATGTTGAGTTCCACTTGTGAATGGTTGGTCGTTACATCACATCAAGAGAAATTTACTTGGTGTTGGTTTGTCAATAAGAAGGCGTCTCCAGAGAATTACAGGCACCATACCCAAATGGCTTAGTGAACCAGCACCCTCACTGCCAGGTCACCTGCCACCTGCCACCCAGTCGATCGGAGACCTGTCTTTCTCAACGGGTGCTGACCGGCTCGGACCGCTCTCGAGCCCTCTCCGCGCTTCTGCCCACAGCTTCTTCGGGGCGCCCACCGCGCAGGTGGTCTTTTGGTCGACCCAAGAAGTGCCTCACGAGGTGCTCTCCAGCTACAAGGACCAGTGACAACCGCGTTTGAGGCAAGGGTGAGTTGTGGCATGGGCAGGATATTTTTGGGAAGTCCAGATGGGTTTAAGTCGATATTCTTCGTGCAAAGGAGGCCCAGGTTGAAACTGTCCAAAGCACATGGGCCCACGAGCCGAAGGATGTTTGAACTGTTGCGGGATAGATATCATGCAGTCGTGGACGCCTGATCTGATTGTCTTAATTTCACATATACATGGAGGTAGAAAATCAATCTTGAAGTCAAATGTTGCCCGCCAACCACGAAGATCCAATTCAAAAATCTATCAATGGCGAATACTGCGGACCGGGAACCTAAAAACCAGAGATTAGAAGTCTCCTTTCAAGACACTTTCTTGTCTGCTTTTGTGCAGCCCCTGTGCCCTGGGTTGAAGCTCACTTATTGGACATGATTCTACTCGGACCTTCAGAGATGGAAAGCACTATGATCATCTTGATCTATCTTGATATCTCTTTGATCCATCCACCCTTTTTACACGGACGCGTCACCAAAAGGTCCATTCTGCAAGCCTCTGAAGTGTAGGATTTCCACTCGCCCGGGCCGTCCTCCCCGGCCGTCCTGGACCGGGCCGTCCTGGACCGGACGGACCGCCAGGACCGCCTGGCGGTGAGCGTGTGGTTCATCGACGGTGCGGAATCCCTGCGGAGCCGGGAGCCCTTCGAGCGGCTCTTTTCCCCGAAGCTGAGGCGACTGGGCGGGTCGGGAGGCGAAGTTTTCAGTGGGAAATCGCGAAGGTTCGGCTCTGTTGGGAGCCACGGAATTTTTCAAAAATACTTTTTTTCACCTGGAGCCCGACCTTGGAGGGATGACCAATCCACGGAACGACGGTTGCGTCGGTAGGTCAAGCAAGGTATCCTGGCTGCCATGACCCATTTATTTAGAATAAGTAACATGGGTCATACCTTGGCAGCCATTACGTATATGTCCCATATGATATATCACATATCTTGGCTGGGAAAATACCGTTACTATCCTTCAGACTTCAGACCCGTGGAAAACACCATTGTTCTGAAGTGTAGCTGGACTAGCGATGGACTGTGAAGATTCTGCAGGTGCTTGGGCGACCGGCGGCAGTGCTTGCTGAAAGCAGCCAAGAATGAGGATGAGAGGCCGGTTTTCTGTTTAGGTGTCGTTGCTAGATGTTCTAAAATCATCCTGCTGTATATTGCTGTGTATTGATTTAATGTCAAGAACGTTTGGGAACTCTGCAAAGGGTCTTATATGGATGGGTCTTGGCCAATCCACATCAGTCACACCTTTCACCCTCATTCACCTTCATCGCCTTGGGCACTGCCCTCCACTCGCCAGGGCCGTCCTGGCCGCGCTGCCGTTGGAAGCCACGCACGGCTTCTCGGAGGCGGAGCGGCGTCGCTTGGCCAGGCCGGGCGGCCGGAAGGGGAGGCGAAGGGAAGCGAGGCGGCGAGGAATTGGCCAGGAGTGGAGCTCTTGAGTTGTCCAGATAGCCCAAGTGGCCACACTGTGGAGTGGGGAGGGAAGGTGAACTGGGCATGTCTTTACAGCACCATGAATGAACAGAACTCGTGCAAGTGGTTCGTGAGCCAAGTTGGCTCTGCGTGAAACAAAAGGCTTTTCAAATGTTCAGAACTATATGGACTCTTCTGTACATTACTAGTAACAAGTGCATTACTACTCTAGTAGCTCCTGGCATTACTACTAGTAGCAAGAAGCTACTAGGAACTGATTGGAAATCCTTTTGGAAGATCAGGTCATGGCCCATTTTGGAAAGGCTCACTCCCCACTCCGCCATCCCCGGACCGGGGCCATCCAGGCTCTTCGGGTGGCGAACTGAAGAGGCGACCCGAAGAAGTGAACCGAAGAAATGAAGAGAATGGAAGGCACCAAGAGATGGCGACCCCGTTCAAAAACGGTTTCTTCACTTGCTCACGCGGCATGGTTTCCAGCCTCGCTACGAATCTTGCGTCTCGCGAACGGAAGAGTTTTACGAACAGACACGAACGGACACTTGAGCCACATCTGTGTTCATTCGCAAAAGAGCCACTGCCAATGGGCCAAAGACCATCCATACCATGCAACAGTTTTAGTTGATTTGTTTGTTTGTTGTCCAATTGGCTTGTTGTCTTGAGATGCCTTGAGTGGTGGTTTGGTTGTTTTTTCGGTCAGGCGATGTCTTGACCGTATTTTCTCCAGATTCGTCCGACGGGGATCCAAAAGACCGAGTTGGGGGGCCCATCTCAAACGGCGCATCCCCACATTGAGACCTGATATTGGCAACAAAGAAGGGCAGTGTGACTCGACATGAGGGCCCATCACCTTCAGAGGATCTCATGTGGGTTTTGGGGGGGAGGTTTGGACCCTTTCTCGGACGTGTGGCCCTGGAGAAATGAAGCGTGTGGAGGAAGATGAAAGGTTTGTAAGTTTCAAGTTGCTTTGATGATTGACTTGGAGTTGCACTCCTGAATATGGGGCTGCTGAGCTCTTGAACAAATCACAAACCTGTACAGCTTCACTGATATGTGAATTTGACAATTTCTCCATCATCCAGGGAACAAGTAGCACTGATCTGTGGGTTTGGAGAGATGTTGCGAAGAAAAACGACCAATGGAGTGCCAGTCGTGTGATTCGACCAACGGAGTGCCAATTCATGGCGCGACGACCCTGCGATGTTCCACCGACCCGGCCAGGACGTGCAGCGCGAGCTGGACACCGCGCAGGAGCCATAGATGAAACGCCATTGAAGGGCTTTCTGTGGTACAATTGTGCTTCCTTCCCAGCGTCCTTGCTCCGTTCGTAGCCATGCCTTTGTTACAGTAGCTTCTTGTTCCTAGTAGTAGTGCCAGAAGCTACGTTCGTAGCGTCCTTGCTCCGTTCGTAGCGTGGCCCTATCCGCATCCGATCGTTTCACGGTTTCTGTCAACCGTGACAAGTCTGGACCGCCAATCTTCTCTTCCTTCTCCTTCTCCTTCTTCTGTTTCTTTGCTTTGTCCTCCGTCTTCTTCCTGTCTGGTTTCTGTTTTGCACCCACAACCTGACCAAACAAAAGCTACGAACGGAGCAAGTACGCTACGAACGTAGCTCCTGGCCTTTACTAGGAACAAGACGCTACTAGTGACAAGGGCATCGCTACGAAAGGAGCAATTCTCCAGGGCCTTTCAGGCCTGATCAGATCCTGATCATGTTGCCAGGACCGTGCCATCCGCAGTGCCTTAGAGAAGGCACTCCAGGGCGGGCAAACACCTGCAGAGGCCTTCGGTGTGAAGGCGCGAAGGGAAGGACCCCGGCACCTCCGCCTGGGAAGCGATGGGGGCGCGACCATGAAGGTGCGACCCATCGAAGTGAGCTGTGGATGGGAATGGAAGACCATCCACATGGAATCCACCTCCCCAACCTTTCCAGCTCCTGCTCCGTCTGGGTCTCCGGTGAAGTCGAGACGAGGCGTTCGCTCCAAAGAAGCCGCTGCACTTTGCTGCTCAGCTGAACTCGTGCCGCTGAGGGGTGGGCCAGTGGGGGCTGGTCATCGCTGTGACGGACTCGGGTCGGTCGACGGTTTCGGTGAGGTCAGGTCAAGCAGGAGCTTATCCATTTTATCCATCTCAGCAAACAAGCATGGAAGAGCAGATTCCCATGGGTTGATGATGGCTCAACCTGTGCTCTTTCTATCTTTTTGCGATGAAGGGAAGCAAATCTCTCGTTCTGACACCCAATTGTATGCCTGGCACCAACCAAACACCCGAAACCTGCTGTCTGGTTCTTGGCATGGAACCAAGAACCAATGCGGTCATAGTCTCCAAATGTCTCAAAGTAGAGAAGTCAAATGAGTTCTGTGCTGTCTTTTGTTGGGGGGGTCAGGATGGCGGGCCTTGTTTTTCTTTCACGAGCACTGAACTACGATTGATGAATGGACGCAGACCACACATGTTCGTTCTGCAAGTTATATACCGTTTCTTGACCGAATGAATGTCAGGTCTTCACAGAAACCTGAGTCAACAGCCTGACATTCTAAAGACCACACATTCAACTGCCCCTATATAAATAACATACACAGTTGCTTTGACATATAGAAGATATCCCTCCTGAACCTTCATGGCAGGTTGGGTACGATCCTCCTTTGGAATTCTATTTACTAGATTCGTTTCTATTTTTCTTTTTTTTTTCATATTTTTCAGAGTTCAATTGCCCCTTTCGTTGCCTTAGGAGATTGTGGACGATGAGATCATGATGCGCGAGAGGCCGCGGCGATGTCGACTCAGACGACCGTGGCCGGACGTGGCCGGACTCCCCGTTGATGGGCCTCGGGACGACACGGAAAGGTGGTTTGGCCATCCGGTTCTGCACATGGCCTCGGTATCTGAGACCGACCGGTGCGCGGACTTTGTCGGTAAACATGCACAGAAAAAATTTCAGCTCCAGTTGTCTCTCTTGTCGCTTCCCTTTTGGGGCCAGGGAATTGCCCCTTTGCTGGACCACTTTGCAAGCTGACTCACCAGAGACTAGATGTAGCTTGGAGTTGGTTGCAGGTGAACATGGACCGAACGTCGCAGAGTACGCACATCGGAGGGTCGCAGCGGTCCGTCGTTCAACTCCACCGAGCGCTCGAACTGCGGCCAGGCCGAAGTTCGGCCTTGCCGACTGAGCCAAAAAAGAGGGCGTGACGTGGGGGTGGGTGGGGGTGGGGATGGGGTTTGGTGCCTGACGTGCCAACTGCGACGGGGCACCAAGACGACGAGCGAGCTTGGCAGTCCTGGCTCGTCGGATCTTCATCTCGGGAGACCAACAGGGTGACAACAACCGGTGTTGTTGGGATGTGCCGACTCCGGCTTCGAAGTGCAGTTGTTAGGCATTACATGTACTTGGGATGGGGTTCGTTAGGCATTGCTCGCGCACTCCTCACCTTTCGTGGGAGTTTCTGGACCCGTTTTTCTCTTTTCGCCCAGGCTTTTGGATGGGGGCGGAGTGTCGTTCCTTTCTGGGCGAAGCCGCACAGTAAAACACCAGGGTTCTTTTCCTCTCCCGGAAGCTTTCCTCGGTGTGGAATTCTGTTCGGATTTTCCGGCACGGTGATGAGGACTGATGAGCGTGCTTGGGAAATAGCAATGGGAGACCAACCGAAATAGCGGCGAGTTCCATGACTCTTGGGTGTGAACCGTGTAATGATAGAGATATATAATCGGTTCTGAATCAGTTCTGATGGTGCATGTATCATATATAACCGGTTCTGCATCAGTTGGTGACACGTGTTTTCCCCTCAGATGGCGGCTCTTCTGGGTGGCTCCGGTGCGCCGGGGTGACCCGATGTCGTGTGAAAGCAAAGCTCGTCACACCGCGGCGAAGGTATTGTGTTTGAAACAGTAGACTGAACATGAAGTTCCGAAGTTCCTCACTCGAAAAACCAACAGACCGCGGCTTTGATTGGTTCTGACTCTGGCTGTTCTTTGTGTGTCTATGTTCTTTGGAGATCACATCCACGGCCTTGTTTTTGGTATGAATGGATGAGAATAGGGCCCTCTTCGCTTCCCTAAGATCTGTATGGAAAGCAATGGGAAGCTGGCGAGCCCGAGAAACTTTCTAAAACGATAGGTTGGAGGCCATCGCTACTAGGGTGGAGGCCGTTACTACTAGTAGCTAGAAACTATTAGGTTGGAGGTTAACCTTCTTTCCCCCGCCTTCCATGGTCTGACGCTCATGGAGTGTGGGGATTCAGCATTTGCACCACCAGTCTACCGGCTGGCCGGAGCTGTTGGCTCTCGCAAGGAGGTACATAACGCAGTCGGCAACACGTCGTTCTGAAGCAAGGTATTTCTCAAGTTCCTTCGAAGGATGCACACACCCTGAGCGCTTCTTCCCACAGAGAGAACATCTTGAAAGACTGAAACTGAAGCTTGCATAGATTCAAGAGATCTCAAAGTAAGTTTTGGGGTGGCATCTGCATCACTTCTACAGCCTTTAAAGCACTTGTTTTCTCGGAACTGGAACGGTTCTTCCGGAGCTTCGCCCGGCCAACCCCGTGGCTGCTGTACAGCACGCATGCTGTTAGGCGAGGAATGCCGAAGCATGCGAAGGGTGTTCGTTGGGAGAGGTGTTGTCTGCACCATTGCCCTGGTTTAGAACCTGTGGATTTCCACCGGCTGTTGAGTGTCCGACATGTTTCGGCCTCCGGCTGGGCCAAGAGATTGCTGGGCCGGAGAGGCCTCCCATGCATATGATACAGGTGGGCCGTGAAGAAGAACGGAGCAGAGCCACCCGAACGATCCTTTGTCACCCCCTTCTCAAGGGGTTTCAACTAGTAGGGTTACCTGCATGACTAGCCCACAGCCCACCCACCACCTGCATGACTAGCTTGGGCCCCAACTCGGTACACCCAGGGGCTTTCACCGGGTTTCGGATGCCATGGCGTCGTCAGGTCACGGAAGTCATGGATGCCCAAAGGTGGCATCCTTCACGGCGTGGCACCTGGTGGTTGACCGGTGGGGTGGGTGTGGGGCGGTTTGAGGTTGACGGATCACATCCGATCACGAGCCGATCACAAGCTGCGGAAATATGTAAGATGTATGTAGATGATGTTAGTTTGAGGTCGAAGAGTTTCTTCCGGTTTCAATTCATTCAGGATGAACATCTACAGTCAATGGCTGCGGCGCCCGGCCCGCAACTAGGCCCGGCCCGCTTTTCACCAGTCCATTCACCCCGTAAGGATCCAAATACCCTCTGAGAAGGTGGGACTGGGGTGGGTTTGGAGGGTCCAAGTACCTTTTGAGGAGGTACTTGGATCCCTACAATCCAATGGGTTGGGATGACCAAGTTGCTTTGACCCAGATCATATTACCCGTTGGACCGCAGAGCCTTGGAGCCTTGGAGCCCGAATCAACTCCTAGCCTCCCAGCTGTGCCTGGGGAGAGTAGGCACCTCTTGAAGTTTCTAACAGCTTCTTGTTCCTAGTAATAAGGCCAGGAGCCCCTAGTAACGTCCTTGCTCCTAGTAGCGATGCCAGGAGCCCCTAGTAGCGTCCTTGCTCCTACGGTTGTTTTTTGGGCACCTGAAAAAAGCATGGCTTCTTGGACTTTGTGAAAGAAAAGTGAGCAGGTCAAGAACCCATGGCTTGTTTTGTGCGGTTCTTAAATTTTGATTGAGTCCATCGCGAGACTGCAAGGTGTGTTCAGCTTTCCGAAATCCATCATCTTAAAGGCACCTGGCATCGAACAATGCGGTCCCCCGAAACAAGACCCTTCTTGAAATGACATCCTCCTTACCTCGACACAACATACACACACATGTATACAATATATACACACACATATATGACTCAAAAAATCAAGGCATCCTTGTGGGGATTTCTATCGAGGTTCTTGCTTGCTTTTCCAACAGCCATTCATGCTTGAGGTCTCTCAACATCTCTCAACCCACCAGTTGAGGGCTGTGTCATGTGGTTCACCAAAACGATCATTTGCTGTCGCTGCTGTGCCTGCTGTCGCAGTCTCCTGAGGAGATGACTTTACCACAGCTCTTGCAGGCGCAGACGGCGCAAACACCTGATTTCTACCACGTGTTCTTTCGAGGGCATCTGAAACCAACTGTTCACTCACATCTGAAGACCAAACTCAGGCATTCCAGTCAAAATTTGGCGTGAAGAGCCACTGAGACTCATCCGTCTCAAACGGAGAAGCCCTCTGAATCCTACAGCCTCCGGAGGCCCCAAACTGTTGAACATGAGGGTCGTTGTTGCTCCACCTGAACTGAACATGAGGCAAGGTAGAATTCAAGATGTGATAAGTGCTTTTGATTAGTGGATTGGGTAGAATCCTACCCCAAACAGGTTCCTACTACCACCTGTCAGGGCGAGGACGTCCTTCCCACCCTTCTCGTGGGTCTCGAGCGGTGCAGGAGCTGAATGACCACGCCAAAGATCTTCGGAACATCGATGACAGGCAGGTGGAACTCGGTGGAGCTGGGCATCGAACCAGGTATTCCCCCTGCAGATGACCATGGACCCCCAGAACCACTGGGGGCTGGGTCTTCGGTTTCGATTTCCAGACCCACGGGTCAATTCTCGGGGGGGGTGGGCACCCAGAGATGCCCAGGTGATGTGACCGGTCGCAGGTGACCCTTGGACCGGTGGGTGATGCGTTCGCCCAACGAACGGGTCCACGGCCGGTTGGTCCCCACGAGAGGTACGAAGACGGTGAGGAATCCCAGAGAGGTGCCACATCCAGAATTTGGTCGGGAAGGTCTGCTGATGATACGGAGTCTTTTCAGAGTGTGTCCCCGGTTTACAAAACATACTGTATCAATACTGTAGTAGTTTTCTATGCAGGAGGGTCCGGAGGGTCACCTGGGAGGGTCATTGCTGTATCATCGATTTGGAGCGATCCATTGCTGTATCGCCCCAGCGATTGATTCGGTGCGCTGGCTCGCCGACCGGGGAGGCTCACGACCACCCAAGCCATGGTGCCCAAGAACTTGGCCAAGTCCATGGGCTCAGAGGGTGCAGCAGGGCAGGGCATTCGCTTCGTTTGAGGAACACGAGAGGAACACGTGGTTTCCGGGGCATTCGCTTCGAACAGAGAGGTTTGACCGTTGAGGACAGCTGCAGTTCCAGCCAAGGTGCCGGTCTGAACCGGCGGCCTGCGGTGCCCATGATCCACTGGATGAGACAAAAAAACCTATCTTTTTGGAACTGCAGGTGGTTGTTTGGTTTTGGTTTGGTTTTGGTTTGTTTTGCGATTTGAAGCAACACAGACCGCACAAGCTCCGTGCACAAGCTTGAACAAGAACAGCTCGGTCTCCTGACCAGCGAGCTGGGTGCTCTTGACCTAACAAGCAGCTACAGGAGCTTTTGTGGCCTTCCTGTATTTGTTTTTGCCTTTTCTTGTGCATTGCTTCACAGAAGCTCTGGTGTAATCCATCCACTCCTGACAGAAAACCATCTGTCCACCCTCAGCGGCACTCACCATGTGACTCCGGGATGGACAGATGGTGTGCTGTGCGCCGAGGATGAAATGCCAGATCCCCGGGCGAGAGAAGGACATCGAAGGGGCTCTCGTGCCTCGGACCACCTCGGCGGGGCGGCAGCCGCGACAGTGAGCCGACGGCAGCCGTGGGCGAGCCCTGACCGGTCAGAACGAACTGGAAGTGTCCAAAGAGGCTTTGGTGACAGCCATTTTTGTAGGGAACGGTTTGCAAAGAATCAACAAAAAAAGGATCCAAATTAAGTTGGCACCCTTTGGTGACCACTCCAAGCTGCTAGTGCCATGAGTTGGACGTTCTTTTCGAAGGCTAGGCAGGGGTACTAAGAACTAGCCAGAGTTGAAGTCCTTTAAATGAAACAGTTGATTGAACACCTCAACCTCGACCTCCTCCTTGCTCGGCTTTTTTGGGCCATTTTCATCCATTGAATCCCACATGTGAGTGCCCTCATTGGCCGAATAAAGCAATCCACGTAATCCACGTTTCTTTTTTTGGTGCCACTAATGGTGCGGCCGTGATGTGAACTACATCAAATCCCGCGCAGGGACGGACAGCTTCTACAGAAGTGCCTCCCTCCAACGGCCATGTCGTGCGCCGGCCGGGCCTCAGGAACAGCTCCAGAAAGATGCCAGCGTGATCCAGGAGAAGGCGGATGGAAAGCCCAATCCGGGCATTTCCCCTGAGGTCTGGTATCAGGTTTGGACTGACTCACAGGTATCAATCGATTCACAGGTAGTTCATCGGGGTTTATTTGTTGACAGAGTCACCGAAGCATCCGGATGTCCTTATGTCCATGGGTAGCGAGTGATGCACGAAGCAAGGGTTGAACTGCTCAAGATTAATGCCTACAGTGGATCATTAACATTAATATTATGGTTACAGTATATGGTTATGCGGCATATATAATTCATATATCAGCCCAATGAATGTGGCGATGGTTCTTCCGACAAGTTCTTACTTGAAGTGGGGAACAAACGTCAACGACGTCCTTGGATCAATCCATGTGCAAGATTGTGCAAGGCAAAGTGGGGCAAACAGGATTCAAGGCCAAGGTGCCCTACCCTGGTGTTGCAACATGCAATGACCATTTCAGGGCGGGCAATTTGATATAATGCGCAATAAATGACTGCATTAATGTTGCAATCCTGCATCAATTCTGAGGATGCTCCAATCTGCTCCTAAGTTTCTTTGCATGAGATTGACTCTTGAAACACAGCTTGCAGTGCGTCACGTTGGGCATTCCACACTTCTGTGGGGCAGCCAGCCATATGGCTTCACTACATTGCAGGGGGAGTGCTGGAAAACCACTGTTAAGCTGCTTAGTTCCGCAAATAGTCGCGGAAGGTGCCTTAAGTTATTTGCTGTTCACCATGTTTCATGCACCGAGCTTGGTGCGAGGTCACACACACATATGTATGTATATATATATAATATCTCGTTCAAATATTAGTGTTGGTCATGGCAGACTTCTCGATAGGCTTGACTGCTAAGAATACACACACACACACATCCGCAGTGTGGGCCGCGATGTACGCCATTGAAAACGCCTTGAAAGAGCCGTAGATGGCAGTCACCCCGTGCGTGGTCATCAGGGCGTCCGGGCCCGGTCGGAACTGAGCCGGTTGGCAGGTTGGCACCATCAATGAGCGGTTGCATGACACTTGGCCAATGCAACCTAGGCGATGGAGCTTAGGGATGGGGGGGCACCGTGGAATCTCCTCTTTTGAAGAAGTTTGGATCAAACGGGGTGAGCCCTAACTTCGACTTGGCTAAGGGAACGACTGTTTCATGAGAGCGGGGCGGCTGGTGTTCAGTGGTTCATGGCTATTTGGGTTCATGTCAAAACCATGGTTCCAGGTTTTGCTTTGAACCCCGTCGCGAAGTGCGAATACGTAGCGACGTAGCAGCATCGGTCGGGTTGACAGCAAGAAATGCGACTTTGTCACACTCCCATTGTGGACATGTCCAACGCATGATTGAGCGTGTCAGCTTATTGTGTTTATCGGGTTAGTTCTTTTGTTCTGCTTGTTTTGTTTTTTGCCGGCTGAAAGCCAACGGCTCACAACGGCTCTATCCTTCAAACAACATGCCATGTAAATCTCGTGGTCCTAAGGACTCCTTGAACGAGGCCATGTCTTTCAACGACCTCATGCACAGGCCCTGCATTTTAGCGCCAGGAGGGCGGTGCTGCAAAACCTCTCAATATTTTGGTGCCTAAGACAAATTTTGTCCAGCTGGGTCTGGTAATGTATATATATATATACATCATTTGGATTCATTTGGAAATCCCAGCTTAGTCACGAGTCATAACTATGGAATGGCTGATCGACTACTCAGTGGCATCCTGGATGCGACAACACAACAAGGGAAGACCACCTACCAAGAGTCCAAACAAGTGTTGTCTGTGTAAAAATACTTGGACCGGATAGCCCAAACGGGAAGGTTATCCATATGATTGTTCAGGGTTCATTGGTATGAACAGCCAAACCAAGCCATTTTGTTCTGGAGCGAGCTTCGGCGCAGGTTCCAGGGCAAGCTCCGGAGCAGTTTTCAAAGCAAGTTCTGGAGCAAGTTCCGGAGCGGGTTCCGGAGCAAGTTCCGCCGAAGCAAGTTCCGGAGCACGTTGCAAAGCAGATTTCGAAGGTTCTGGAGCAGGTTCCGGAGCTTCCGGGCAGGCTCTGGGAGGTTGCGAAGCAGGTTCTGGATTGTGAAGGAAGAGCTGCTTCCCGGGTGCTTTGCAAATATGATAAGCTGCCGCTATGACGACAATGTTGTCGCGGCGTAGTGCGGACGTGTTACGATGCTCCAGTTGGCACGCTACACCGTCAGGCTACCATGCGGTGTTTGCTAACCTGCTAACATGTTACATTCCTGATTCCTGACACACTAAGGTGTTGCCACGCCTATTGGCTGACATGGGGTCGTGTTGATGTTGGTGTGTTGTGTTTCTAAATCGGATGCTGTCACGCAGACATGTGGACACGCTCGCGCGCTGAAAAGCAGAAGTCGGGCTATGCTATGCTGTGGTGCTAACTTTCTGGCGGGCTCCAAGCCGGCTCGGGAAAAGACTTGCCGGTTTTTGCTTGTTGCGGTCTTGTCACGCTTGCACATATGTGGGAACATGATGGAACATGTGCTACACACGAACAGTGCTGACGTATTTCCGTGTTAATTAGTATGTTCGCATGGCGCATGAAAAAGGGCTCACGTTTTGGAAAGCAGTAGTGCCTAACAGACACACCCACTTACTGCCATCTTTTTTTGGATTTCCAGAATCTCCGACTTGTCACCGGGTCTGCTCCCCCTTCCCATGAAGGTCGGCACCCGGAGTCGGGCCAGGCAGTTCGAGTACAAAGGCAACCGCCTCCCCGAAGAGATCTCCGAATTCTCCGGGACGGCCCGGGAGCTTTACAGGAAATGCGGAATGCGGAACGAAGTGCTTGGACCGGGAACCTTCGAGTGGCTTTTGCGTGACGCAGGATGAAAAAATGAACCCTTTGGTGTTAAATCCAAGCTTCTCTGAGATGTCACCTGCGATGGATTCCAGTCAATCACCTCACGTGCACAAGATTTCATGATTAATTATCACTGTTGATAGGTGTTTTGATGTCCCTCAAAAGGCAGGATTTGTTCCATGACCTGCGGGGAGTTGAGATGATCGCATACGTGAGGTGGTTTGGCCTATTTTACCAGACGAACATGAGCATCATCCATATCCCGTGTGTGAGGTGGTCAGCAATCTTCATCGTGCCCAAGATATGGCAAAGCCACTGGGATCGGAGTTCGGGGCTTTTGATGATTTGGAAAGGCTTCCATCTTCGGGCGCTTTGATGATTTCTTTGAAGAACAAGCTGTTATTTTGTGACAGGTGATGAAAATCGGGGTGCTCTTGGCAGACCTTGGATGGGGTTTGGTCTTAACATGACAAGTGCACTTCTGGCATTTTGGATAGAAGAACAGCTCTCGCCAGTACAACTCAGGAAAAGAGGAAAAAAGCAAAAGAGATGCCAACGCGGCTCGGGGTTGTGCAGAATGCCAATCAACGAGTTACTGTAGAGTGCTTTCCATACTTCCTTGGGCTGTAGGCTTTTGAGCTGCCTGATTGAAGTGTCTGTGTTTCATGTCACACCTTCCACAGAGTGTGTCACCTCATTTCCTCACCCCCCCTCCTACCTTGCCTCCTAGCCGTGCTCAGGAAGGAGATGATCAGTGGGGCCAATGACCTCATGAGCTGCTCGGACGAATTCCGGCGATGCCTGGAGATGGGCTTCGTTGAAAAAACCGGCAGCTGCAGGTTCAACAGGGTTTGAACATTTTGGGGTATCAAGCATCTTGACACATGTTTGTTTTTTGCAAGCATGGTTGATCTCAGATGCCAGAAACGCGATAGGAGTAACAAGATCCATCCTGGAGGAGAGAAAGAAGATGAAAGAAGAACAATAGCACAGGAGTAACTTTGCACTTGGTAAGATGCTCTTCCAAGATGCTCGGACCCTCGGGACTCTTTCACCAAACTTTCGATGTGCTTCAATTGGTCTGATCCCAGGACTCACGAAGCAGGTGAAGACTGCGATCCGCGCATCTTCTGCAGGACGCGAGTCATGTGATTGGAGGAGTTGGGGGTCCAGTCAGTGTGTGTGGGTGGGTGGGTGGGTGGGTGGGGGTTGAGTTGGTGAAGGTCCAAAAACACAACAACTAGAAGTTGACTGTGGAGTAAGTGATTGAGAGTATCACCAGGACCAGGATGCACCTGGTTGATGGGTCAAAGTGGCTGGTTGATTTGAGAGTCACCCTTCCTAAAGATGAGCATCACTGGGATAGCAGCCTTGGCCATCTCCATATTGGGCGCGTTTAAGAATCCAACAAACATCCGGGTCAGCTTTTCATCAACTGAACCTTAAGACCCTCTGGATTGATTTGCACTGCGTAATAACCCTATGACCTATCCCATGTGTATCGAACTGCAGTCCGTTTCCAGGCCTCTCGACATCTCTGGCACTGACTGGGGATTGGGATATGACGCCCTGGGATTTGCTTCAACCAGCCACACCACAACATATGGAGGTCATGCTGTTCAGCCAACCAAAACCACAAGCAAACCAAAAGCCGGGCAAAAACACAGCAAAAACAAGCCATCAAACAATAACTCAAACAACGCAAGCACCTCAACCAGTTGGCTTCCCACCTAACCGGTGGATCTTTCCGCCACCATGTTTTCACTCCACTCTTCGGAGGATTGGACCCCGGCGTTGTGGCATCACTGATGCAGATGTGGCCTTGGTCGGGAGCCCCCTTGGGTGGCGAACCACCTCCTTCACCGGGGCGGGACCACACCCAGCCGCCCGGCGGGGACTCCCTGACCCTGCAGACGTGGAGTAAATGGCCGGCCTGTCCGCTAGTGTGGCACCCGGGGATTGAGCCCGGCATAGCCACCAGAACAGACTTCTGACCCGGCCCTTTTTCACCGGGCGATTGTTAGACACCCCCGGTCTCCGGGAGCCCTGGCCTGGTCTCTCTCTCTCCTCACACTGAGAGTGGAGAATGGTCCTGACCAAAGCTGTGGTAAGACTGGACCAAATGCTGGGCGGCCCAAGATATGACCTAAGACGTGGCCCTTCAGATCCCTATGATATTGTATACGCTATATGGCACATTTCTGCCTTTTGGCTGATTTTTTGGATGAAAAGGCAGAACTTGGTAACAGTTGGAAGATCCAGGTATGTCTGTAAGTGTGGATGGATTTCTTCTGCCACTGTGCGAAGTGGATGGTTTTTTCAGTTCCCGAGGGGGGAACCACCAGCTCTTCTTGGGTAGCACCAGCGGTGCGAAGCACTGGTTGTTGGACGAACGCCCAACCGGAGCGGTTGACCCTTCACATCTGCCACTGTGACAAGACCTCATAGTACTACCTCCCTATGAAATTTGAGGTTGCATCATGTGCTGGACTGTGAGTGTACGAAACATGCTCTCAACATTGATTAGAGTTGGTCTCAAAGTCACGGCCTTCAAGCATTCCAGGAGAGAGGAAGATTGTAGGGACCCTCAAATAAAGAGGCTCGTCAATCCCTTTCAGACATCTCGAACACCACAAGATCGATCTTTGATCTCCAGATCTAGGCCTGGTCGTGGGCAGGCCCGGTGGTGACAGGGGGGCCTGGCGTAGGAAGCTTTGGACACCTTGTGCCACGGTCCAACTACCCTCGCTCAGGATCTCCTGAAAGCTGAGCAAGCCCCCTTGTGGAGGAAGACGTGTTCTTCCAGGGGCCTAGTTAGAACCATGATTCTCGGAGGGACAAGTCAGACCAGTTAGAGTCATGCAGACTCTTGATGTCAAAAAAGTACAGCCCAAATGAGAGAGTTTTACTAGTCAAGAGTCTACATCACTGTTAGAACCACCTGAGATTCGGGAACTTCCCCGGTTCAGTTGGGTGGTTCTTCCGCGGCTTATTTTTTGAAGGGTTCCTTTGCGAAGGTCGCTTAGTCGCTTGGTCGCGTGGTCTTGTCTTTTGTGGACCTGTTTTCATCTGGTGCTACAGCATCCCCAATGCATCCGCTACAAGGTATGGCAGCAAGGCATGCAATAAACCTCACGTACCTACCTGCCCCGTACACCTCCCACCCATGTAAAGCCCTACTTGCCCACCTAGCCACAGTCATCCCCAAGAAGAGACAGAAAATCAAGAGAAGACATCCGAAGACAAATGTCCGAATGTTGGGATTGTTCCATACTCCATCTACACTCTCACAAATGACAAAGTGTCACAAAGCAACACACACACACACATGTCGAAAGCACATTTTTGGATAAAGGTATCCAACAACACAAGACTAATCCAAATGCTGGACGCCCACTTTTCCGCCTACTGGACGCCTCCTGCACCCATGTCATACAGCAAACCCAAGAAAGCAGGAGTTGGACTTCGACGTTGTGGGATTCGCCACTTGAAAAACCAGCGTCCACCAAGAGGGGGGGCACAAGGAACCCAAGGCTTGCCGCTCCCTTTCGATGCGAAGCCTCGCTGCGAAGCCTCTCTCAGGTCGACGCTGGGGTTCTCTTCCCCCGGAGGTTGAAACTCACACCGACTCATACCGACTGCTGCGTCCAGGGGCGGCGCGGCACGCGGCCAGGCGCCCGGTTTTTCGCGGTGGATGGCATGGGAGGGAAGCGACACACCGATACTACCACTCCCCTTTGTCCAGTGACCGCGTGGAAGACTCTTGGCCTCAACCCCGTGGGTCCTCAGGGTCGACTGACCGCCTTCGCCGGAGAGCCACCGGAACGAGGATGGATGGGTGAAGGGGAAGATGCCTCCACTCCTCCACTCAACTCTTGCTTGTGGACACGTGAAGGCTTTCCGCGGCTTTCCATTGGCTTGCTCCGTGTCTGATAATCCTGATATGTCCATGGGTGAACTTTGGATTTGAGGGTTTGCCCTATTTGGGAGCCAGACAGAGGGAAACTGTGCAAAAGTGTTCTCAGAATTTCATGTTATACTGCGATCTACTGGACGATGAGGATTTTGATGTGTGGGTGCCCAAGGTCGAAGAACTATTTCAGGAGTGAGAGACACGAGCGAGAACTATTTCAAAGACATTCAACGAGTTTGTTTTGGTTTTCTCAACTGTTGATCAAGAAGTGAGAATTTACCAACTAATTCCGAGCCTGTTTGATTGATAATTGATATTTACCAGGACCATGTGTTTGGCCACCCTGAGCTTTGCTGAAGTAGCTCTGGGCTTCCATTGGACAGCCCTTCTTGAATGGTTTGGGTTGGATTTTGTCACAGAAGAACCACATCTTCTTGTCTTCTTGGACAGTCCATAGACATTGGTGTACCATTTTTCAGTCTCAGGCCAGCCATGAACTCATCGATGGAACAGGTGCCCCGGGTCTCCACCTTTCCTCTTGGCAAAGCAATCCTAAGTCACAGTTCCTCGAATGGGGGTTGATCCAAGAAAGGTCTGACTGGGATTGCTTTGCCAGGAGTTCGACTTGGAAACCTCTCCCGTGGCCGTTTGGTTGGCAGGTTATGGGATTTCAGGGGAAACAGCAATCCCATCCTGGGTCTCCAACAAGACCGAATTGCTCGAACACACCATGCCACACCTTGGCATCTTGTTTGAAGGAGCATTGTTAGGAGAACCAATGGCCCATATATGGATCAATCCAAATTGAAGTTCAGCACTGTTGTGATGTGTTTGCTCGATTTTTGCTCGCTCACAGTGCTTCCTGTTCAACGGCATTCCGGCCTGCAGGAGACGCGTTTCTCTGAGACAAAAGAAGAGTGGCCGTCAGGGCAGCCCCCAACCAAGTGGACTGTCAATGCTTGAGAAAAATCTTCTCCTTTGCGGATTCTACCAGTTTTGAACTTTCCCACAGGGTCTGAGATTCTCCACCCATGAGAGGGTGACACCTGCAAGTGATGCTTTGTCAGAAACTGTCAGACATCCGTGCAGTTCTGTCAGAGACATCCTTGACAAAAAGAAGCAGTGCTGTTGCACCCATTTCTTCAAGACCACCATTTCCTGCTTCGCCCCGGTCCGGGAACCGGTTTCGGCATTGCTCGGTCCGCGCAGCTGACACGACCACGACCACGACGATGAGTCGTCCGCGGACGAGTCGTCCGCGGACGGTTGCGGAGGGAGGGGGGATGAGGAGGGATGAGGGGGTCCAGGAAAAGACTCACTTGGTGAGAAAGTGGGGGTGGGGGGTGTTCTTTTGAAAAATACCACATCTGGTTTTCCTTTTTTAATATTTTATTCGGAGGCGTTTTGTGGAGTGGTCTCATTATTGTCGGGGAGACCCTTGGGAGCGAGATTTCTGTCAGATGGGCAGGGGTCGCTGAGCACTCTGGTTCAAGCCGTGTGCCACTTCAACTACCTGAGTACCGAACTACTTTTGTGCCTTGAAGCAAGAGATACTTTGTCTTTTATGAGATTTTGTTCTGAGTTGTTCTTGATCTTTTGATGCTTTTTGTCATGTCAAATGTTATGTTTCGGGTGTTCGGAATTTCCATGGTTTGTCGAGAACTCTCGGATATCCTCTGTCACATGTCCTTATCCTCAAGTGGAACAATCTACTCTTGACATCAACATATGTCATCAATAAAAACATGTCAAGGCAAACACTCAAGAGGAACAAATACCGTATCTTCGTAGCTGGAGGGAAAACTCATTTGGACCAGACCCCCAGAACCCCAAAATCGGCCAGCCATCTGCGGGCCATCGGCAAGCCGGTTCGCAAAGAGGTGGACTTGACACAAGCAGCTGTGTGGGGCCTTGCCGGTGCTGTGTGGGGCCTTGCCGGTGCTCAGGAATTCCATGCTGGCACAATGAGATGTTGGATCTTCCTGCTCCTCCTCGGAGGAGTTGGGGTGCCCAGATGGTGTGATCAGCTCCTGGGAGTCACAGCATCTGCGGTACAACCTGGAGCCACCGATGTTGGAACGGCCCAGATTCCGACTCGACAGCGCTTCGACTTCCGGAAGCTTCTTCGAAGGGGCAGGAAAGGTCGGAGACATGAAGAACGGCATGAAGGAACGGGGGTCTCATCCAGACGTCCGTAACGGACCGGCGGTCAGCGATACGTAGTTTTTTCTCTTTTGTCTTTTTCTCTGGTGACGGGGCTCAAAGGATTGGAAGCACAACTGTACAAGGTCAGTTTTCGGGAGTTCTGCATCTTGCTGAATCTGTAGAAGAGATCTGGAGAAGACACACTTTTCTGAGTCTCTCAGGGGGACTTGTTGTTATTTTTTCCCCACCGAGTGGATGCACAGAATAGACGACCTATGGGAGGTCAACCTACCAGGGTTTAGGGCATCGCTCTTGCTCTCTGGATTTCGACCCACGGCCATGCAATTGATAGACCTTGCATGAGTTTGGAGACAGGCTTATCAGAGGCACTTAACAGACTTGTCATAATTCTCAAATTGAGCACTTCCAAATGGCAAAACCATTGTGTGATGACGAAAAGAAACAAGAACCATGAACTATGTATAAGGACTACTGTATAGATCTGTATATAGTACAAAGTATATAAAGTGGTTTTAGACCAACTTGTGTTTGTAAAGTACCTTGGTTGCTTTGAATATTGACCAACCATGGATTCGTTGACCAACGAGAGAACGAAGGGAACGGGTCCCGCGAACCACGGGAGAACGGCCACGGCCTTTCCGTGCTTCCGTCCGACTCCTTGGTGGAGGACGCTACTAGTAACAAAGGGCATCGCTACGAACGGAGCAATGATGCTACGAACGGGGCTCCTGGCCTTACTACTAGGAACAAGAAGCTACTAGGAGCTCTTGGTCCACTTGGGGGACATTCTTCCATCCTCCACACAGAATCCACCGAACAAGTCTGAGAAACACGCTCACTGAGGCATCTGCTTTGGTGCGCATGCATTGGTCCCAAGCCGCGCATGCGGGTGATTCTCTTCTGTCCCTTGGGCGCAGTCCGCGCTTGTCGGGAACAAAGAAGGATTGTCGAACGAACGATGCGACGGCAAGGTGAAATGTCGTCTGCAGTGATCCTCCATGATCCCCAGTGATCCTCCATGATCCCCATTCAATAGATAGTTTCAGGATTTCCTGCGTACATTTTGCTTCTCCTGCGGTGGCAATGGCAATGGCCTCGCGTATGTTGTTCGAGGTGTCGGGGTCGCTCGGTGGTCGAAATCTGCCAGGCCAGGTGTGAAAGTCTCCTCACACACCTGGCCTCCTTCGTTGTTGTTCTGGTGGTAGGGCCTGGTAGGGCATCTAGTCTATGTTGTTTTACCCCTGTAGATGACCGTCGGAATCCACTTCGTTTCTACCCAACCCATGGCGCAGCTGGTCATTGGACTTGACCATGCTGGTCTCACCATTCCATGTCCCGGAAGGACTCCAAACGCTGTCAGGACACCGTTTGTTCGGTGTCTCAGGCCGCTCACGGCCGCTCCAACCCCCAGGCGTTGAGCCCATGACAACGAGCCAATGGCGGTTCTTTACGCCAATGGCGTTCTTGAAACGTGCGCCAGTGTGGCCGTTGGTTCTGAAGTGAACCTCTTGTTCTGAAGTGAACCAACGGCCTCCCAAAACGACCGGGGACCTTTGGGGAGACCTTTTGACCCGGCAAGTGATTTGTTCATTTTCCTGTCCAAAAGCACAAATCAGCGGCAGTCGGAGATGTGGCCAGTCGGAGATGTGGTCCCTATTCAGATATATTTAGATATGATATGACTCTACATGGGGAACCCCAGACAAGGCCATGTTCATTCTGTTTCTAAAGCTAAATTTCTGTGGGAAGAATGATTGACAGCTACAAATAACGCACCTGCATCCTTCATTCACGGCAGATTCAGAGTAGACTGTAAGTGTTTTTGCCTATTACCATTATATCAAGTAACAATATATAGTATACAATATATATATATATGTATTTGATCTTACACATGAGTTTACCACATACCCTTTTCTTTCCTGACCGGGCACCGTACGAGGAGTCCAGCGCTTGCTGCGCCGAACGAAGACCTTACTTTTGCTGCTCAGTCGGTTTGTTGGGTGGGGATTGGTAGGGCATGTCTTGGAGATTTCTCTAATCCCTCTGGGAGATCCTTAGAATACAAAAACTTCTTGGAATCGGAAGGACGCAACTGGCACTGGAAAGAGTTTTCGAGGTTAGAAGGGAGACTTCAATTCAATACTCATATATATATATATAACCAAACAACCTATAAATGCTTTCGAAATCATAAGAAGGCTAGTTGATGGGGCATCCGCCCAGCTTCTTTTTTAAAGATTTCTCAGCTCGTTGGCGGTGTCAATTTTTGGCTAACCGAGGACCATGATTGAGAGACCGTCAAAAGTTTGGCCTTTCACATAAGCCACAGACTCCTGACTTGCAGAATCATTCCGCAGAAAAGATCCTCTAGATTGGCAAAACCTTGGCCATCAACTCTATATATAAGCAGTTTCTTGCCATCACTTGCAGACACCACAGAGACCCAGCCCTTTTCAATCAGAACCGTGACCTTTGCAATTGTTGGGACCCCCAACATCCGGAAACAAAGCACACATTCGGTTAGACGCTTGAGCCAGAAGGATGAAGCCAGCTTGAAGCCACCAAAAGTGGTTTAACCCGAATGGTACAAAAAGGGCTTCAGAAGCTTGTGCTCTGCTTTTGGTATCTTGATCTGTCTTTCTTCTCCACGGCCGCCGAGGCGCAGTTGTTTTCAGCCGCTCCGGTCGACTGTGTGTCGGTCTCTCATGGCTTTCTGGACTGCGCTGCGAAAGATCATGGGAAGGTGCTGATACCTTGCTTAGGAACGAGCAGAGTCCAATGCACAAGTTTTGTTGTTTCCTCAACTTTCAAGGACTTGTTGGAAGAGGGAACGGGTGGGACATGAAGCCTA